TCCACGTTTGTTGACGGCGACCGACACCATGAACAAATCAAGCCATCCACCTTTCCAATTCGTTGATTCAAGTAGTGACAGATCCATCTATTAGAGAGCAGAGGAGTGATTTATCGATTGGATGCTGAGCGAAAATCATCACAAAAAATAAAACCGTTTGTGTATACTATTCGCTTAACGGGTCTTTAAAAACAATAGCAATGTGGATAGTGTAACTACCGTGAATTGGTCAACACCATGAATTTTAACTTCAATAGTTATGAAGAGATGTAAGAAGAGCATTGGTTAGAGGTGTGCGATTCAACACACGGCTGGTCGTTAGGTCGAATATGTACTGCGCCAACTAATTCTAGTCCCTCCGGCGTCATCAAATCGATTTAAGACTTATCTCTGAGAAAATCTCTGTAAAATTCACAAATAGTGGCTACGGGCTCCACGCTGAGGAGCTGGGAACGCTCCAGTAGAGCTATTCCATTCCTCCAGATAGACTCAACCTAACTAGTAGTAAAGGCACTCCTGAAGAAAGAAGAATCCTTAAGAAGCAGTTGAAACCACACTCAAAAGCAAAGATCATCATGAATGACGATGATGAGACAACGAACTAAATGAAGAAAGCGCTTGAATGTGGAAAACATCTGAAGTCGACTCATATAAATATCATACGATTTTATCCAAGTTATCAATTTAAGATTGCATCTAGTGATTACATTGAGGAAAAATGAAGGGATAGATGGAAAATCTCCTTGAAAGATGCTTATTGATGATAAATTACGACAAGAAACAAGAATGGTTTGGTATGAGTCAGGTCTTCTTGTAATGAACTAGATCGTATTGCTGAAGAAATGCTGGAGTCCAGCCATCCTTACCATCACAACGTTGCTAAGATAATCGCAAAACTCCGGACCGCAGGTGTCTGCGGTGTGGAGCGCGCTATTATATTTTCCAGGAACTAACGCGTTCATTAACACACCATGCGAGTCCTTCGTTTCGCCTGTCTCCCAGCTAGGTCTATCGATCAACGCCATCAGCAATCACCCATCAACGGGATTGATCTAAGAGGTCCAATCGGCAAAAAACCTAGTTAAGTTGAGGTAGTGGTTGAAATCACAATGTTTTACTTTTTCTTTTCTGCCTACTACAATTTTTACGGCAGGGTATTAAGCGAAATACAACCACAACGTTGCTGAGGTGTTTGCAAAACTCCGGATCGCAGGTGTCTGCGGTGTGGAACGAGCGCGCTATTACCATTTCCGGAGACTAACGCGTTCACCACCACACCATGCGGATCCTTCGTTCCACCTGTGTCTTAGACCGGAATGGTGTGTTGGTGAACGCGTTAGTTCCCGGAAGGGGTAATAGCACGCTTGTTCCTCATCGCAAACACCTACGGTCCAGAGTTTTGCAAACATCTCAGCAACGTTGTGGTTGTATTTCGCTTAATACCCTGCCGTGAAAATGGTAGTAAGCAGCAAATAAAAAGTAAAACATGCTTACCATAATTGATTTTTATTTACAGAACTCGATTTTGCACTACGACTTATTTTAGACATGCGTTAGAATGGTAGAGAGAAAACACTGAGTGAAGGTTTCGTACTTCTGGAGTGGAATAAATAAGCATCCTTTTGAAAAACTCACCAATGCAAATTGAATCAGCTTGATGAATCTGACATTGAATAGACGATGTGCACCCGATGAATAAGTTAACACCACCGTTAACACAAAGTGAATAAGCACTGCATGCTGAAACGAAGCAATAACCATAACGACAACAATACGTTCATTTACGTACTTAGATTTGCTTCCAGTAGTAGCCAATCGATATCTATTATTTATACGTCACTCCACTGTAGCGATTTCAAAGGATATCTGAGTGTTGGAATGATAAACACTAGGCTATCTATCATTAAATGGTCTAGTTTTCTATTTATTATTGACTAAACTTGCGTTGAGATTTGCAACCGGCTTGAAGCAAAGCTAATCACTATGTAGTAATCCATCCAATCAAACCACACGACAACTAAAGAACTGGGTTAGACATCATAAAGTTTGACAGAAGCAATACGTCTACTTGAATCTTTCCTCTGCTTATCAAAATCAGATACCATATTGAGCTCCCTGTAATTTCTCTACTGGATACAAAAAGCGAAGATAGAATGTTTAACAGAGCAAAAAAATCTCGTCATGATCGAAGTCAGGAACCAGCGGTTCAACATGTTTAGTTGTAAGAGATTCTCTCAGTTCTTATGGGTTATGAGAAAATAATTACCATCTGACCTGTCCATGGCATATGGTTTTAAGGAAATTCATTTTTCGAGACGAATGATCATTGCGATGCAGCGGAATCCTTCAGTCATAAACGCTACTAACAGTGGCACCAACTACACGGCATCTAATTTACACCGTCACGGAATCACAATGTGCTTGAAAATTCCTCCCTCTAGTCGAAGATGCAATTCAGCCACAAGATGAAAAAATATCGGTGATTTCAAAGAAAGAAGGCAAGCGTTGCATATGATGAATACGTGGATAGAGATTATGTGACGTAACAGGCGCGTGGCGAAAAGCTTAGTGGAAGAGTACACACTACTTGTGAACGAACTCCAATACGATATCAGGTAACCCGGTTCACCAATAGTCCTTCTTGAAGTTCCTCAATAATCCTTTAAGTGGGAGTTCTCCAGTAACTCCTTAAATGAGAAAGTCTTTTCTTTTACTTTTTCATCGCCTTCTTGCGACTTGTGTTCACTTTCACGTAGTTCTAGAGGAATCCGACAGGAGCTAAAAATCCAAAAAAAAAACTCACGAACGTCTGAGTTGAAACGATAGGGTTCGGTGCCACAGATATATTTCGATCTCCTTTTCTCAATGTCGTGTTTTTCACTAGAAGAGTGAATGACCACCATTGACAGGAATGCAACCATGGACGACGAAGCAAACATTTCAATTAATATGACTTTCGAACAGTTTTTATCGGCTCCCTCGATGCCATTTGAACAGCTGCTCTTCAGCATTCCAATGATTCCATCTTTGTCCCGAAATTTGTCAACAGCATTTTCCACTAAATAATATTCGGATTGTCCAGACTCATTGCATGAAAGAGGTGTATTTATTTGGTTGTTCCTACGTAGAATAGTAACGTGGGTCGAACTTTTCATCAAATCAGGAGGAATGAGGCACGAGTTTTAATCTTATATTGGCACATAGCGAATAGCAAAACAATAATTTTCAAAGTGACTGCCATATAACCTCGGCATCAACAATCAATACCTTGGATTATTAAGCTGACACGAGGATGATAGATGTTTATTCAACAAACGTTTCGACGTCTTCGTCTTCGTCAGAGCTTATGATTAGAGTCAGTGGTCCACAGCGTTCGTTTGATAAGCAATGCCGAATTTAAATGACAGACAGTTCCGAAAAATATTGATTTACTACTCGTTAAGTGCAAAACTATCTAATACCCACTGCAGCAAGATGAACTGTCCGTTGGAAAATACACTATTATCAACGGATAGTCATTACCAACAACAACTGTCCTGTATAAAAGAGCACTGTCCGGTGAATTACAAATACAACGATGCCGAGACATTCGCAAAATTTGGACCCTGTGCCAGATCGAACTACGATTTCCTTTTCCGAGGGCTTGCGCATTACACACTGCGCTGCGGAAGCCATTGCTCTGCATTTCTTTTCTACCTAACGCTGACATCAGCATCACTGTTGGGAGAGGTTGCGTCATTCGAGCGGTGCTCCACTGAAGAAGATCCGTCTCGGTGAAAAGACGAAGACACCACATCGAAAGTACGAACGATCGTGGACCACCGGCTCGAACCATCGACTCTGTGGAAGACGGAGGCGTTGCAGCGTAGCCGAACAAACGCTTTTATCAACCTCATATCCGCTTCATAATTCAAAAAGGTATTGATTATTAATACCGAAATTAAATGACGATCGATTTGAAAAATACTACACGATCTATTTCAGAATGAAGACTTCCTTCTCAAACTAGGAGTAATTCCAATCGAAGAGTGTTTTTGATATAAAATGAGCAAAAAGAGACACCTTGGGAAAGAACGAGCTGAACTATGCATATGGAAATCTACTACTTTAGTAAGTGCCAGAGGTAGCACTATTCGTTCAAAAACTCGAATCATTACACATTTGAACGGCCGTGCCAACAAGTAAAGAGCGTCCTTTTCCAATGCGTTAGAAAAAACTGTGTTTACTTCCCGATTAGTGGTTTCAATGAACACATTCTGAACACGATACGCATTTACTGAGTATCGTTCATTGCAAAAAACCAATAGGGCATACCGATATTTCAACCCAGTGATTTCATTCTCCCATACAAGAATGGCACTAATTTCCCGACCTCGAAGGGATGGAATGCTTGGTGAGCCTGGGACGTCAGCTCGAACAATCGACGAAGCAGAACTAAATATCAGTTTAAACGGAGTCTTATTCTTGCTAGATTTATCCTTTAAGAGATAGATCTTCCTCTAAATCTAAATATAGTAACAACCTCTTGTATGCTCATCGAGAAAATGGGAGATTGAAAATAGAATATGTAATGCACATTCGTAGGAATTTAAAAAAAAAGGGCCTTCAACCACAGTAAGCAGAAACTTGACGAACACGAATTACACTATTAAACTGTATTTGAACCTAAACAATGGTAATTTAACAACAAAACCGGGATAACATAACAAGATGAGTACAAGTAAAACTCTCACATGCCTACTGAAGAAGAAAAACTATGTCTATGAATGAATAGATAGGAGATCAGATAAACAATGAACACTGCCACTTCAACTATAAACGTCAGCGCTGAATTCCGTCAATTTTAATACAAGAGACACTGTAGTTTTTCCTTAGATATCCTTAACCAACGTTATTCATGTTGCTTAGACTAAAAATCAAGTGAAGATTTTAAAATTCGCTTCCATATATTGTGCTTCTATTTCAGATAGAATAAGCTCTTCAAAGCCACACTCTATACACTACGCTTCCTCAGTGCTCTCAGGTTTTCGTGTCTCATCGGAGTCCTTCGTCGAAAGAAGCTTCATTTCTTGCGGTTCGCCTTCATCACCATGTTCAATTTGAGCTATTGTTTCTGGCAACGATTTACCCATAGTTTCCGGCAAGAACAACAGAGTTAATAAACCAGCAAGTATTGCCATCGTCGCAAACGGTACTATCATGTAGACTTTTCCGAAAGATTCGACCTGAAATATCGAATACTACATTTACTGGCGCTAAAAAAGATTAAATATCTAGACATAATATTTGTAGAATTGAAGTGAAATAGATGCAAGGAAAGAATGATTCTTAGAACTTACAATCCATAAACTTATATAGCTGGCCGAAATCGCACCTAGACGTGCAATCGTGCTGCAACAACCCATCGCAGTGTTTCGGATGACTGTTGGGAACAATTCTGGTGAGTAAGCGTATATGGAAGCATAAGTTCCCGTGATGGCACCTTTTGTAACCATCATCTGAACGATTGCCACAGCCAACGTTGCTGGAAATGGTTTAAAACTTAACTACATGGTGGACAGTATTCACCGAAGAAAAAATGTAATGACGTTATAAGTCACTAAACCTATCCTTGGACTGTCACAGCTGTTCCAGAAAAAAATTGAAAAATCGTATATAAAAATCGCATCATTAAAGAATTTTGAAATATAACACCTAACCAACCGTCGAAACAAAGCATTTTAAAGACTTCAGTGAGATTGTGGTATGCTTCTAGATTTATAGAATTGTGTTGTACATTGGAGCTTCGTCTTCTCAGCAATGTCTCCCAATCCATACAATTCAAAATTTCTAGTTGGAAACCTAGTTAAAAGTCATCTCAACACTAGAAATCACCGTCGCCCTACTAGCAACTCAGTTCATTTATATTTACTTATTTATTTATTTGACCCATCTTCACGTCTACTGTGCGGATCCTAGCACTTCTTACATTCACTTCGTTTCCTCGCACCCACTATCCTCGAAAATTTTCTAGCTTTAAGCGTCGCTTCGCTTGCTGCTTGAGGATTTTCATTTCATCTTGGATTATCGCATAACGCTGGTCCAACGATTCTCCCTAGAGTCCTCAGATAGCCGGACTGGAGAGTTCCCAATTGGATTGCGGAGAGTGAATTTTTTCCCCAGACAAATCCGGTTCCAATTTCCCGAACCCTGAGGAATAACAAGTTTGGTTGGCCAGTGACGGAATCGAACTAGCACCATGCTCGTGATTATGGACAAGCCTACCAATGCGCTATCCGCCCCATCATCAACTTAGTTACAAGGTGGCAAACTTCTCTCTAATCCATACGAGCCGGTGAACACCTCTGATGACAACTTTTGAAAACCCTAATAATCTAGCTCATAACTCCACGGAAGTAAAAACTTGTCCGACCAGAGAATTACCACACATTTCCTTGCGAAGATGGACAACTATTCAAATAAATTGGCAAGTGAATAACTACTTAAAAGTGTCAGCAATTCGGAATTTAAAAAATCGAGAATGTATTAGGTTGGTATTTCAAAAATAAAGTGCTATGTTGTTCAGCGACCACCACATTCAAACCGGTTTATGCACGATAGCTTTCTAAAAATAGTGTAACATTAAATCACGACAGACGATCAAGAAATTCGAGCTGTTCATATTCTGACGGAAATTTTTCCGTATCTACTCAATATTTATTCGTTTGCATGCATTGCATGTATTTTATATTAGACAATAACAAACATATTAGAAACAATAATACACGAACTGTTGGATACATTCTTGATCAATTTCTCTCAGAAATAGAGTGGTTTCAACTCTAAAAATTTGGCAACGGTGTTTTCTTGTACCGTTGTCATCCAAATCGTTATAGCTCAGGTGGTTATTTCAGGATTAGAATAAGTGACAATCTGATGCAACCGCATCAATGGATAAAGCGCGATAGTCAAACTAACCCAATGTACCTGCCAGTCAGCAGCAGGGAATCATGGATGCTGGTTCAAATGGATAGAATGTATTCGGCCAGAATTTGCACCTGGCGGGACTAAATCTCGAACAGTTCGTTGATTTAAGGTGTTAAACGATTGTGATATAAGCAAAATATAGTGCCTTCTCAGTAAAGCTTGCTAGATCTCGTTTCGCGTTATCTTCGTGGCACATTCAATATTAGCTTTCCACATCGGAGTAGATTTTTAGCGCTCAGGTCGCAATGATAGAGGACTTAGAGCAATATCCAACTCAAAAACGACCTTAGACTTTCCAACGGTAAACTAAGCGCTTGTGTTAAACAAGTGCTTTAAACAAGATGTTGCACGTCTCGACTCGACCTCATGTTTTCGGTTACTTTATAGGAATCATCCTACATTGTAAGCACGAATCAATCGATGGAAATGAAATTTTGTTGTTCTGGCCATCAATGTTAAGCATATACCTCTCACTTCAGCATGACTTTCCCTTTACTGCTACTGATCATAAAGACAGGTAATAACGTTTTCAAAAACTTGCTCCAACTTCATCATTAACGGTCCTTCTCATTCTACCTAAGGCAATATAATTGTCTACATGACGTCCATACACATTCCAAAGAAACAGCAATAATGGCAACTGTCTGTACTACTTCTCATAACTTCACTGATTACAATTCACATCTTTGTCTACTAAACAGTGGCTTCCACAATTGTTGCTCCAACTTAATCTCAAATCATCTGTTTCCGGAAATATCTTCGACGATGTGTCGCTTGCACAAATCAAACTCTCACGGAGTACTAAGTCCTATTAAGTCCATCTTAGACAAAACCACTTCAATTATATCGATAACAATGAAATGGAATCACAGTGTCTAGGAGCAACTTCTATACAACCACAATTACGATGAGATATTTGCAAAATTCCGGGCCGCAAGTGTCTGCGGTGGGGAACGAACGCGCTACTACCCTTTCCGGGGGCTAATGCGTTCACCACTACAACATTCGGGTACTTTTCGCCTATGTCAGCTAGTTCTATCATATATTGCCATCAGCAATCACCCGTCAACCAGATTGATCTGGGGAGGGGGGGCAAAATCGTCAATGAATCCAGTTAAACTGACGCTTTAGTGGAAATCACAATGTTAAAAAAATGTTATGTCACATGTAAAATGTCACAATGTTAACTTTTTATTTACTTCCTATTATAATTTTCCACAGCAAGGTATATTATGTGCGATAGAAGTACCTTGTAGAGAGGCGAAACGAGGACCGGCATGGTATGGTGGTGAACGAGTTAGTCTCGAAAAGGGTAATACCGTGTTCAGTCCCCAACGCAAACACCTGCAATCCGGAGTTCTGCAAATATCTCAGCATCATTGTGGTTGTGTCACACCTAATACCCTGCTGTGAAAAATTGCAACAGCAAACAGTAAATCCCAGTAAACTAATACCAGGACCCACCACGATCTTGGCATGAAAGTCGGATGGTGGTAAATCTCCCTCTAATCCACAAGAGCTGCGACTGTCTGTCGCGTTGACGAACTGAGGCAGACTTTAGTCAGGCTGTCTTCGGGATTCCAGGGAACCACAATGGCTTAACCAGCAAATCTCCGAAAAATGGTGATTATGCTGGAGCCCGCACAACTAGTGACGACGGGCCGTTCAAGTATCAAGTAAGTATTAGGTAAACAGTAAATTAACATTGTAACTCCTATACAGTTGCACTCATTCAAAGCCTGTATTGAAATCACTAAACCCTATAAGCATTAATCAGTGACTCAAGAATCTAATGAAAATGAACGCACAATTTGCGAGGAGTATGAAAAAATATAGTGATGATAGTGAGGACATTATTATACTTATTCAAATAAAGGAACTCAATTCAGCGTTAAACTCTACTAATAGTGGAACAAATGGGAACTCAGAATTCCACGCGATTCATCCCAAAACGCTTCTCTAGAGGATGTTGATGTATGAGGAACTCACTAAAATTCAGAACACAACACTCTTCTTACTCTTCTACTAATAATCCTATACCGACAGTCACCACACAGTGATCGTTACTCGATCTCGTTCATACTTTAATTTTAAGAAAACTAGAACGTCTTACTTTTGATGGAAATCTTAAATATGTTGCCTTCGCAGAACGACCTGCTGCATTCGCCGATAACAAACAACAGCTGGAGAGCACATTTACCGCTTAGATCCCGTCTACGAGGTGTTTCGGTATCGATTCAAGAACTCACCATAACACTAGGTAATTTCTACATTATGTAAAACATCTTCAGAACGTTACACAATGACAAAGTTCCCGTGAAACACATTATTCTCGAAATTAACCCAGTTACCACCCTGCGGTTCACAGTGGCCTCAGAGTTCTACACTTTATAATCGGAGATTTTCTCTGGTACGACATATTCAAATGGAAATGGAACCAACGATTCGAACGGAAATGTGTTAAGTGCAATTCTTTTAAATTGGCTACTACAACAGATATGAAGTCAAATACATGATAAAACTTCTGTCATTCCCACTGACGGGTGATTGGTGACAGCACTAATAGAGTAAAAACGGTTAAGAGGAACAGGCAACAAGTAAAGGTTAAACTAGTGTTAATTGCAGTCCCACTCCTACAGAATTACTCTTCCTACAGACATCGTTGGAAAGGATTTGACAATGATGGAAATGGAATTCTATTCCTGATCTACGAGGAACATTAATAATTCTCATCAGGAATTTTCCATAGTTGTCAATACCTAGTACAAGCGAATTCTGCAACAGAGTCACTTCACAAAATAACGGTAAGCGATGTTGTTACTGCAACTATTCCCTTCTCGACACTAATATATGGGAAAACTTTATAGCTGTGCTAGAACTGCCCTTTGAGTTGCGATTCACTTACTTCGATGGCCCGTCTTCACTGGTTGTGCGAGGACCAGCATAATTTCCATTCATCTAGGAGTTTTGCTGCTTTAACCATTGTGGTTCCTTGGACTCCGAAGGTCATTTTGGCCAATGTTTGCTACAGGTCGCCACTACTACAAGCAGTCGCAGCCCTTGTGGATCAGGTGGATATTTACCACCATGCGACTAGTTTGATACCAGGATGGTGGTGAATCCTGGTATTGGTTTACTCTTAGCTAGGCTTCCTGATAGAAACGCCGGACTCTTTCTCAGCATAGGAGACCCTGCTGGGGATGAACTCTCCACTATACATCGCATCCCAACACCCAGGAACAGCTCCTAGTCACGATGAGGCGGTAAATTGTTGGGAGGTTTTGACTTCGAACAGTACTAATAAACTAATTTTGAAATAATCATGCAACTTTTGCTCCAACAAAGATCACTCCTCAATATGTTTGCGTGTCATCGTGAACATTAAGGGCGGAAAGCTCAAGTTCAAGCACCTCAGGCGACAACTCGTCAAAATCTGAAACTCCCGATGAGTCGGCCCACTCTACCAGTAATCGACAGTAACAAACGGTCCTCAACTTTTAACACCTACGTCGTCCAACACACTAAGAATGTG